AGGCAATTCAAGAAGGATAAAAAACAGGACAGATTTCTGGGCTCTCTGGTGCCCACTTCACAAATCCATCTCAACTGATGGAGGGCTGGTGGCACGGGCCACGCTCCAGGGAATGGTCTGTCCTCTGAACTACAACTCCAGACTTCCCCAAACGTCATTCTAGGCTTAAATAATTCAGTCCTGTCTATGGGAGTATGAGGGTGTTGAGGCCATCTTTTTTTTTTTTTTTTTTTTTTTTTTTTTTTTCTGAGAAAGTGGAAAGGGCATGAAACTATATGTACATTTGGATTCTTCCATTGAACCAAGTTTACTCTTCCGGGCAGTCTCTCCAGCCACCTTGACTTTAAGAGATCTGCTGCTCATTTCCATTAAAACTCTATCTTTTGCTGCCATATCCTTTCTTTCCTCCTTACTTTTCTCCCCCCTCCCTTGATACCTGGAAATTAACATGCATTCTTCTCTCAAATTATAAGGTTTCTGAGAAAACTTAGGAAAACAGAAATGCAAATGTTAAGGCAAAGTATCCACAACCCAAGCATAACCACTATAAATTTTTGTACATCCTTCATGGTTTTTTTTTTTTTTAACTCACATATATATGTATTTTTACGAAACCAAGAAATCACACTAGTTTGTGACCTGCTTTTCACCCCTAGGTGTAAGTGCTACCACGTTCTTGTTCAGAAAGGATGTACTGATTTGATTTATCCTTCTAATAGCAGATGTGAGAGTGACCCTACCCCCTCCACCCCCTTAGCACTATCATCCTTCTTTTTAATCTTTGCCAATTTAAAGGCAACAAATTATTGTTTTAATTTGCATTGCTCTGATTACTAGTGAGGTTAAACATTTATTTCCATGCTGATCACTTTCCTCGAATTTCTCGTCTTTGTACTAGGGACTAGGAAAAGCAGCCAGCCCAGTGCTATGCACTGGCTGTTGCAGACTGGATGACGGACGGACGGTGGGGAGAAGGTGGTGTGAGCACAGGGAAGAGGGCTGCCAGCAATGCTGCAGCAAGAAGGTCAGGTTGCTTCCTTGTCTTCTTTGATGAAACATGACAGCAGGAATACATACTCGTTGGCAGGAAAAAAAAATTAGGTATTTCAAAAGGACATACGAATATTATGAAAGCTCGCCTCACACTCTCTTCCCCTTTGCCACAGGCCCTATTTCCCGGGTGTAACCATCTTCAGTCCCTCCTCCCTGGTTGTCCCCTCCCCGTGACCGTCCTCCTGCACCACCAGCTGCAATGGTAATGGGCTAAGGGGAGTGTTGGGCAGAAGGGGTCAGGGATTGGAAAAGGAATCCGTTCCCCATACAATAGCTCCCAGGGTGGTCACAGGGAAGGGAAGCAGGAGAGACCACACCAGGCTTTTGTCGGTAATCAAATGGGCAGATTAAGAGTGAGTTAAGATTACCCTGTATGCCTTGATTTCGGTCCATATGGAAAATGGCAGGCTGTTTATTGCAGCACTTGAGCCGTGTCCTTTGTTAACTTTTGTCCCTCGAGTGTAACCCTTTACGAAGTGGAAGAGAAAACCCGAGAAATGGTTTGACTTTCCTGCATGAAGCCTCCTCCCCATTTGGCAGGTCCTGTGGAGCCCTACATCCACCTTTTATCCCGCTTGCTTCCAGACAGTGGTTTGAAATAACATCCATTGCCTCCGGGACCTTACCCAATTCTTTCTAAAGGAATGTCATCAAAGTCTTGCTTAAAACTGATGCCAAGACTTGAGTAGAATTTATAGTGTGAAAGGGGACCCCCATTCCTTGTTATCAGAAAATCGTCTGTAGGAAAAGTGATCTAATTATTCAAATTCTTAGTGTTAAGAAAATGGCTGTTTTAAATGGGAGGGTCCATCACCAAACTGATCTGGAACCTTTGAAACAACCTTCCTCTCTTTGGGAGACGCAAACGCCTGTGAAATGGAATAGGCCATTTTAGAACCAGTGGGTCACCAGCCTCCCACTAAGGAAAAAAACTAAGACATTCAAGGTGGAAATAATTCTTATTGTCTTGAGATTCTGCTTTTTCTTTTTTTCCAGCTTTGAAAACTGATCACCTGTCCCACCTCTTCTTGTATCATTTTCCACAGGGAATGCTTTTCTGCAAGGGTTTAATTTCTCCCCCCACTGTCTTCGATAAGATAGTTTAATATTAGACAAGATAACTTTTAGGCACATACAGTATATGTAACAGCGTGAGTTGTTCCAAGTGACAAAATCCTGTATGAGGAAGCTTTGTCTTCAACCTAGTCCAACAGGGCTTGTGTGTTTTTTTTTTTTTTGCGTTTTTTTTTTTAAGATTTTATTTGTCAGAGAGACAGAGTCCAAGCAGGGGGAGTGGCAGAGGGAGAAACAGGCTCCCCGCTGAGCAGGGAGCCCGACACAGGACTTGATCCCGGGGACCCTGGGATCATGACTTGAGCCGGAGGCAGACGCTTAACCGACTGAGCCAGCCAGGCGCCCCCCAACAGGGCTTTTTTCAAGAAGCGTTCATTCTAAAAAGGCAAGCCTCACTTTCTGGACCCAGGGGACAGGATGGCATAACAGGACCCTAGGTGAGATCTCCGTGGCAGTAATGGGTCGATGTGGGTGGGGAGAGGCACGGAGGGCACTGCTGTGTTGTATTAGTTGTCCAACCCTATATAACAAATTGCCCCCAAACCCAGCACCTTAGAACAACAAACTGCTGATCTCACACGGTTTCTGAGTGTCGGGAACCCAGGTGTGGTTTAGCAGGCTTGGCTCAAGGTCTCTCATGAGGCTGCAGCCAACCTACTGGCTGGGGTTGCAATCATCTCAAGGCTCAACTGGGGCTGAAGGATCCGCTTCCAAGCTCACCCACATGGCGGCCGGCAGGCCCCCGCAGTTCGTTAGCTGGCAGCCAAAGCTACTTGCCATGTGGGTCTCTCTCCACAGACTTCCTGAGCGTTCTCACAGCAGAGCTTCTCCCATAGCGAGTGATCCACGAGAGATACGCCCGAGACAGAGGCCTGTCTTTCCACAACGTGATCTTGGAAGTGACAGCCCATCACTGTGGCATTCCATTCATAAGTCCAGCACACACTTCAAGGGGAGGAAAATGAAGCGCTACCTCTCCGAGAGGAGTATCAAAAGAATTTGTGGACATATTTTAAAAACCACCACGTGTATGATCCAAGTTGCCTATATCCAGTTTGTTCTTTGGTCTATAGCAAAGGTCAGTACATTTTTTTCTGTAAAGGACCAGATAGTAAAATATTGTTTTAGGCATCGTGGGCCAGACTGTCTCTATTGCAACTACTTAACTCTGCCACGGTATTGCAAAATAGCCATAGGTAATACATAAGTGAGTGTGGCTTTGTTCCAGTAAGATTTTATTTACAAAAATACGCATGGGGCAGATTTGGCCATGAGTAGGAGTTGGTTGACCCCTGGTCTACAGCTATCGAGGTTATTGGAAGTCTGTTTCCTTGCCATCAGAATTCCGTGCGAAAAGAAATTCATCCACAAGACATAGCTGTCTGAGCTGTAGCTTGAAATTTAACAGCGAGATAATAGGAAGACAGAAAGGCAAATGTGATTTAGGTGGAGAAAAACGTCAGGACATGGGATTCCAGTTGTCCTCTGGGAAAAAGGAAGAATTGGAATATAAAGGAGAAGAGCCGATTTGGGACAACATCAGACAAGACAGTGTCTTCATTCCACTTAACCAATGAAGCAGAGATGAGACAAGAAGTCTGAGAAGAGATGTCCTCTAGGCAACCAGAACCGGGGGGCTGGATAATAGCGTTCCGGTTCTGACTCAAGGTGTGAATTAAAGGATCCATCTTCACAAAGCTCCTCAGCTCCAAAGAGCCCAGAGTTCACCAGAGATGTGTAGAGGCACGGAAAAAGACTCGTGAGTCCCACAGATGGGGTCAAAGGAAGGAGCCGCTGGGAACACGAAGGAATAATGGAACTTCAGAGGGGAAAGGGTGGGGGCAAACAGTTAATTTTGCACTATTCACAAATAAACTTCAAGTGATTAGTTTTAGCTAACATAAGGCTAAGCATCTATAAGTTCTTAGACCTCATTTCTCCCTCCATGTTCTTTAGGTTTGGTTTTGGTTCCTTAGGTTTCATTTTGCAAATATGAACTTGTTCCTCAGGGCTGTTTATATTAAGCTTATATGACCGAGAGTCAAACAGAGGAGGAGCTGAGAATCCCACTTTTCCTTCACAGTCACCTGCAGTGGAACTTTTAACCTAAGATGGTTAACCTGCCTAAATTATATATCTTTCTCAAGAAGGTGGCTGAGAAATCTCACCATTAAAAAAAGTTACGTTTTACTTTTTTTTCAGCCCGAAACACAGCCATTAGTCATTTTTAAGTTAATCTTAAAGGTAAAATCTTAACAACCTCTTTGATGAGATGTGCTTTGGAAAGGAACACTCTGCTGGTAAATTATTTCTCAAAGAGGTTTTTGCTCTCAGGCAGTGGCCCGAGACCAAAATGGGGCCTAGCATGACCCTATTTGGATAACTGGGCATAACATCAACACTCTGTCATTCGGTTGAGGTTTTGTCCCTCTTACCCCGAACCTAAACCTAAATACTGAGTAAAAAATTAAAAAAAATTTTTTTTGCTGCAGTTTTCTTTGCAAGAAATACCCCACTTCCTTTGAGGTGATGTCACTGAATTTAAACAAATTACTTCCATAAATACTTCCTGGGTATAAAATAAAGAGGTGGGGACAGTGTTCTCTCTCTTTAAGGTGCTCATAGCTGGGAGAGGAGGACAAAGACTTGAACTTTAGTCATCCGGCTCCTCACCTTGTGATGGAAAGCATGTCAACGACACGTCCGGAGGAAACCGGCTGGGAAGTCTCATCCAGAGTCCCTCTGGTGCCAGAGATGCAGGTCAGGAATTCAGTGAGCGCTGGGTACTGCCATCACCCTGATCTGAGTCCGTCTCTGTCAAGGTAAGATGCTAACAACCCAGTCTTTCCAAAGACATATGTGAACTATTCCAGTTTTACTAATAACTTTATTTAAATAAGACACAGGAACTTCTATACTGAAAAAATACAAAACAAAAGCCACACATTTCCTTGTGTAAAGCCATATTGTATGGTAACTCGAATACTGTTCAGCGCAGTGGCTAGAATTAAACAGTACAACTATATACAAAATTTAAACAATTTCTGACAAATTTCTACAGCTGGATGTAGGATACATTTGAGCTCAACAACTTCTGGGAAATTTACATGGCAAAGCATAAGCTTTAACACATTTGGTTCAAAACTTTAATATATGCTAAGAACAAATGTACAACACAATTAATATTTAGTTTCTCATGAGAAAATAAAAGCACATGTCACTATAAATACCGTACATCAGATTTCATCACCAAAAAAGCATTCAGTCCATCTTTCAGAAATTGATATCGATACTATTGCATCATATTTGGACAAAAGCAGAGCATAAGATCAACACATTATGTAATGCTAAACCAGATATCAGAAGTTAATGGAGCTCATATTTATCTTACAGAACTAATAATTTTCTCCCTTTAACCATAATCTACAAAATATAGTATTTTCATCAAGGCCTGAGATTATTAGGGTTAAAGGTGTCTGCTGCTGAAGAGATTGTTTTAAAAGGTTCCCCTGTGAAAATGGCAAAAGTAAACTGAGTCCTTTTCCATGACAGTCTCCTACAATATAACACTGACTAATTTAAAGGAGCCAGAATGCACCTTCAGGAGAGAATATTACTGCAAACTTTGGTGGAAAGAAGATAATTGGGTTCATAACAAAATAATACATAGAATACATACACACGCAAACATATACATATATATATATATATATCATTTCTTAAAAAAATCAATGGTGTTGCTTTCTTCTCTATCACCTCTTCCTTCTTCAGCCTCCTTAGAAAATAAAACAAAAAACCCCAAGGAATGACTGAAGGGAACTGAAACGTTCCCGTGACTGTAGGCACCTTATTCCCCTAATTCTTAAGAAAACGGTGCCATATACTGTAGGTACAGATGAAACAACTCTATGCTTTACTGAACTAAAAGCAATGGAATAAAAATACGAAAACTTCCCTTTGCTTCTGGAGACTCTCTGTGCTGCAGAAAACAAAGTCTGAGAGTTGGGCTCTTCCACTGACCACTCGGGATTATCTAGGGCTCTCTTCACACAACTTCGTTGAAAATTCAGGTCAAGTCTGCAAGTTCAAGGCAATTTACTTGGGTTTTTGCTTTACTTTGCACATCCGAAATACTAACAGAACCATCCACGATACTGTGAGGAGAGGCCTGAAGAGACAGCCGCAAACTGCTGCTTTTTCTAAGTCCCCACAAACAGCCAGCTTCCAGTGCTGCATTACTTCTGAGACCCACACGTTCTCTCTCCACATGAATGCAACTCATGCACCTCAACTGCTCGAGGAAAACAATAACCAAAAGCGTGTCATTTGTAAACCCTCAAATTAAAGAATTTCCAAGAGAGAAACTGAACATCAATATGCCTTTAGCTGAAACAGCATTTCATGACGCTGATGGCCAACATAAACAAAAACTCTCTCCCATCCCCTGTGAGAGTTCACTGTTTTACTGTTAAACCTAGACTTTCTTGTTGTTAAATTCCATCACACACAACTGGAATGTTTATGTACAGTCTGGTACCGGAGACACTTTCTTTGCAACACTGTAACAGTCATGAACTGAGCAACACCTGAACTTGTTTAAAAAAAAAAAAAAAAAGCCACATTTACACATGTTGAAAAGTGAATTCAACAGTTGTTTTACTTGTAACCGCATGACAAAAATGATGTCAGACACCACAGATTTGCTGGTTCTCCTCATGTTCACCCATGTCCAGGATTATTGTTCTCCTAGGGTTGAATGCACTTCTTATTCTAAGAATGTGGAATGTAATGAGGAAAGGGAAATGCATAAAATAAGGAAAGGCAAAAGAGTGATGTTCCCTCTTTAGCTTTTTAGCTGTGAAATATTTAATATCCCAATATGATATACATTCCAAGTTACCTGAGTTTAGACTTCAACTGAAGTACCTGAAGCTAGGCCATAGGGTGGGCACTGTGCAACTGTTGTGGCCATTTATTATTATTATTTTTTTGCATTGTATGTATTACAGAAGTTAGAAACAAACACCTGGATCAATTGTAAACATAATCCTGAAGTACAGTATTTTCCATAGGACAAAACACAGCAAGACATCTTCTATTTAGACAGGCAACTTTTTGATATAGAGCTTATTTATACTGAAGAATTTGGAACAAAACACAGGACACAGTACTAATCTGTCAAACATACTATGAAATGCATAGTCTCCACTTAAAATGCTGAATGACACACACATTTTGCAAGCAGTACTGCTTTCCACAAAAACTGCTGAATAGGAGTTCCGTCCCTGCCAAGATCAGTGTTAAGAGATACTTTACGATGCTGATAAGTATTCTGTTGGTGGTGGTGGTGTTCAGAAAGTTTGTCACTCCATGCAGATAAGATGTCTGAGGTCTAGTTCCTAATCCGTGAAGGTAGGGTAGAGGCCAGCTCCCCCTTTGCTTTAGATGATCACATAATTCTGAGCAGAGATGTGTTCCTCGCCCTGCAGGTCCTGCAGGAGCTGCTGCTGCTGGGATGGCTGTTGGACGGAGGCCTCCAGGGCGCCCACCGAGCTGGTGTCGTCAGAAAGAGACGTAAAGGAAACCCGGGAGGAGAGCTGCTCAACGGTCAGGGTGGCCAGGGCCGAGCTCTGGCCTGAGTTAGGAGAGTTCTTGAGCATCAGGTCGGAGGCAGGTAAGAGAGGGCCTAGAAGTTTTACAGGACAGAAAGCTGATCCGGTTGGGATGAAATTAACCTTGTTTTTGTCAGGACATGAAAAGAGAGGGGCTGAGATAGGCTGACGAGACCTAAAACCACAAAACAAAATGACATTCACAATCACTAAAAGCTTCCAAGCTTTCTGACTTAGCTGGAGTTCTCTACCACAGCTACAATGTGAATGGCAGGGAATGAGTTAAGTGTACACAGAGGGGTAAACATCTTCCATAGCACAAGTCAGCTGGCAGACCAGGGACGTACACAGCACCGAGTGATATCGGAGACAAAAGGATTTTCAAAAGGACTGGGCAAATTTTTTCAGAGATCATTAGTTTGCTTTCAATCATTTAGGAAAATGGAAAAACCTCCTATGCTTTAGTTAAAGATTATGCCAGGTAGAATGACCTTTTCTGTTAAGGAAAAGTATAATGGGAGAGGGATTACCTAATCATGTATTTGGTTTTAAGCATTTTCTCCTTTTTCTGCATCACTATACATACTTCTACTAACAGATCAGAAAAAAAAAGTTTCAGTAATTTCTCAAAGAGCCAGTCAGCCCAACAGAGCAGGGTTTTTAAGCCTTTCCTCCCTTCCCATTCCCAGGAACTAAGCCATCAACTCCTGCATTCCTGCAAGACCGGTCTCTGTCCCCTTCCAGGTCGCAAGAGTAACCGCGGCCTCCCCCAGGCACTGCACTGGGACGAAGGGATGAGTGAGTCCAACAGCCACACAGTCTTGTCTTGTCTTTTCTTTTCTTCCTGAGCCACTCTGCCAAGTATTTACAGCATGAACTTTGTTTCCTTTAATTTCTAATTTATGCACACTGAAATTTCAAAAAGAAAAAAAGACCCTGCGAACGAGAAGTCTACATTAAACGAACACACACGCTAGATGTGTCTACAGGGAGACCAGGTTAGTTTCTTTCTGGCCTGTGGGGGCCTGTCATAAGGCCAGCCACACTTGGGTATTAACTTTGCCGCTAAACGCCTTCTTGTTAGCCATCCAAATTCATAGAGCTTTTTGAAAGGAAAATTTGTAGTGATTAAAAAATAGATCTTTTAGGTTGTAGGGATGAATTTCCAGGTTTCTTTGTACTAGCTTATGTATTTCCAGCACACAGACTCCAGTTGTCCACTAAGATTCCTCCTGCCTATTCAATTCCCTTTTCATAATTTGGTTTTGAAACACATTATCAGCTGGATGGAGTAGTTGATTCATCTGTGATCAACTGGTCTCAGTAAAAAGCTTTACAGCTTTGCAGATCCCAGCTGATAGAAAAGACATTACTTACGCCATTTCCTCAAAGACCTTCACTCGCTCACATCCCTCTGGGGGCTCCCGTTTGAACATGTAGCTGTTGTTTGGTTTGGGAGATGAAGCGTACTTGGGTAACGGTGAGCTACTCCCACTGTCTGTAAATTTAAAGCAGTTATATTAACTAGTGATTGAAAGCTCTTTTAAATTAAGTTTGATTTCCAAACAAGCAGCCTTTTGCACAGTTTATCCACTATGGCCCCTCTGCTTCCACCACAGAGCTTCCTTTATTGCAAAGCTATTACTAACACTTTCATGTAGTACATTTCTTAGAAATAAAAGCTTCGATGCAACAGTAATCTGCCATACCACAGAACATAAAAGGAGGTTATTTTGGTCCAGAAACTGCATTTTGAATAAAGTAGAGCTATAATCTGGAAGACGAATACAGTAGAGCATGTATTTCAAAATGTAAATGAATGGGGTAATATGTATAAATCATGCAAAAGAATTATAAGAGGTTATAATACAGGGTCCTCTAGGTTTTCTCACTGTCCCACCAATTTAATTGAAAATTTTAGTATGAGGAATCATCTTCATTATGAACGTTCTTAGCAGAAACATTATTTTTACTAAACACCATGAATAAATGTATGCAGGGGAAAAACAGGTTTACAACACATAATGTCTTTTCCCCTTAGCCCACTATGAAGAATAAAAATTCGCTCAGAATTTCGCCTTTAAAAGGTCTCTATATAAAAGAATCTTTCCAGCAGTTTGTATTTTTGCTACTAGAAGCATGAGAAGTCTAAAAGCATCTCTACCTAATATGTTTTCTTCATATTTTTGACCAAAAAAAGAAAATGGTCTATTCATGAAAAGCCATAAGACCTATATGTAATTTCTCCCTTTCCTACCTGGCAAAGGATTTTGGAAATTCAAATCCACCAAAATGTGTCATTATCTTTGTAAGATGCCAAGTTGTAAAGGCAGTCACATACCTGTATAAATACAATAGTCCCATTTAAACAAATTCTGGCTTAATGCAAAAAAATCCCCACTGCTAAAATACTAAGCACATGATCTATTGAGATGTATGGTTTTTATGTATATTTTTGAAAGACGGCATTGCTACCATAATTACGCTTGTCACAATTTTGATGAGTTGCTTTAGTTTAGGCTACAGAACACAGCGTGACATTCAGAATCTGAGTAATAGGAATGTTTTTATCATCATTAATGAACTGTATAATACATGCTTAGAAGTAGACTCTTGAGGCACACTTGGTGTATTTGGTGAATGATTCAAAGAGCATCTATGTTAGTCTTGGGACTGGAGATGCGTGCTTACATTTAAATATGGCCATAACTCTGGGAAATCAGTGCCTACCAAATAACGAGGCCACACCACTAGGAAACCTAGAAAACCCCCCAGTTTCTCTGTCACTACTATTATGGATATTCCTACGGATTATACACAGTCCTGTGAAAGGAAGTGGGTCTTAGAATTAAGTTCGGTTTCTTCACGTGCCATTCAGATGTAAGGATTTTCTTAGATTCGACATTCATCTTACATTACTTAAACAAATGGGAGGCAGGAGGGAGAATGTACTTTTCTCCCATAGGTGGATGCAAAACACCATTAACCTGGCGTCTGAGTTTGCTGCTCTCTATTTGAGCGAGGCTAGACCGAAAAGATTGGTCCACGGTCAAAAAGTGGCGAGAACGAGGCCCTGAGCTCAGTGTAATACAGCCTGACCCTGCTTTCCCGTCCAAGCAGCAAGAAGGCCCGTAGAGGCAATGCAAGACCAAGAGGTGACGTGTGATGCCTCCGTGGAGCTTCCCATTGGTGACGGCAGTCCCTGGGGGAGGGCACAACTGGCCTGAAGCCGTGGGCTCAATGGCTGTGACAAGCCTTTTTGGACTGCTGGCGGGGGTGTGACCATGTCAGTGGTCGAGAACTCTCCCCATCAGCACGTCAGAAAAGTCATCTTGGCCCCAGCTGCAGTCTTCTGGGCTCTACTTCTTTACTACGTCACCAGGCCGACCATAGGATTTCTCTGCTGACTTCAGGAATGGCTTCAAAGGCCTCTCCCGGAACTGAAAGCTAGATGTGAGTTGGACAATCTGTAAAACTGATTATCTTCCTATTAACATCTACGCTAAATTAAACAGTGTTTCCTCTTAAACGTTTTTCTAATTTCAGAGGTTTATATTTTGAGAGTTTTACCCACTTAAAACATTCTTGTTCTTTTTTGGGGGTGGGGGGCTGATTAATGTTAAAAAATAAACATACTGCTATCCTAGAAAGATAGTATTCAGTACTGTTATATCTCTTTGCCTCTTCAATTAAAAAAGTTGGGTTTTGTTGTTGAGAATATATATATATATGTAAATTTATTTGAATGTTTGGTGGTCTGGAAAGACAAAGCTTGAAAAAAATTGAAACCATCAACAGATTTGTTGAATCTGGAGTTTTTTCCTCAGGTAAGTATGCAGTCTGGTAGAGGACAAAGAGGAGCAGGGATGGAGAAACCCCATCTGAGGTTTCAGCTCTGTCACTAGTTGTGTAACTTTGAACACAACTGCCTTTCTGAGCTTCTAGATAACTAAAGGAATTACCACTAGTCCTAAATTCTGTGACATTTTTAAGGGTTCTAACATACAAGGTATATATATTTTTTGCTTTACAAAATGGCATGATATAAAAACAACCCTCATACGGGTGCCTGGGTGGCACAGTCGGTTAAGCGTCTGATTCTTGGTTTCAGCTCAGGTTGTGATCTCAGGGTTGTGAGATCGAGCCCCGCATCGAACTCTGTGCTCAGTGCAGAGTCTGCTTAAAACTCTCTCTGGCCCTCCCCCCACACTCCCTCTTTCTCTGTCTACAGTAAATAAATAAATCTTTAAAAAATAAATAAAAACAACCCACATGAACAACCTATTCTATCCATTCCAGACTTGGAGTCTAATTGATTCATTTGAAACTCTGTGTTGAATTTAATAAACATTTCAGTAACAGAACATAAATGTGAGGTAAGCATGCCTGCTCAGGAGATTCAAGATGAAAAGTCTCACAGTAATCTTAATTCAATCCCTCTTGTTCACACACATAATAAATTTTCACATTCTGTTACCTCTCAGTAGGAAGTAACTAGACATGTAGTTCACATTAAGTGTTATTTTATGTTCTTACATCATAGCCAATGTCAATAAAATGAAATGTAACAAATACGATTCTGCCTGTATTTATAACAGTCTTATCTATCTTTATAAAGAATCACCCAACTCTGAAAATCAGGAGTATGGAAATATTTTATTGGCTATTATAATAGATCATACTTACATATGTGTACCATATTTACCATTAAAATACAAGTAGCTTGTCAAATATTTTTAAACTCATGATAATGAATTAAAGCTTGGAAAATTTAGAGACATTTTAAACAATGGAATTCCATATAGAAATAGTATTTTTTAAACTACATGTACTTTTATAGTTACGAGTTTTCTGAATTTCTCCTTATATACAGCCTTCATTATTTCTGGTATATTAAGTACGGTCCACAATTTCAGTATAAAAAAATCGTATTATTCAGTTAAGTCATTCTGTGGGTAGGTATGTAAAATCTTTGCCATGGTTCTATTCTAGCCCGAAGTCTTTAGATGTGCTTTATCTCCTACTATCAGATCACTTTATCAAATTAAGTGAAATTAGTACTAAAACAAGCTATGTAATTACAGAGCAGCGGTTCTTAACTCTGGTTTCACATTAGACCCATTAGGAGATGTTTCCAAAAATACCAATAAATACCACTGTCCAGACCTCATCCCTAAGATATTCTGATTTAATTAGTCTGGGGCTCCTCCCCAGCGTGTGCTCCACCCCCCTCCCTTTTTTTTAAATCCCCCAGATGCTTTTAACGCAGAGCCAAATTTGAGAGCCAATCATGAAAATGTCAAAACACTGGTTTGGAGTCAGGCTACCTTGCCTGTGACGTCTACCAGGCCTGACACCATGACCTAGGAGAAGTCTGAACCCTGTTTTGATCTGTAAAATGGGACTAACCACTCATACGACAACTATGAAAAATGTGTATAAAAGAATCAGCACAGGGCCCGGGACAGTGAGCTCTCAATAAATACAACTGCAACAGTACAAAGAACACGTCATTCCTAGTCTGCAAACTTAAAATGGTGAACCATTCAGAAATTAAGCACCTATTCTACTTTCTCTCAGCAGAAGAGAAGAACGAGAAAGTTATTCTTAAAAGATCCACACATTCCACTTCTATTCGGGTGCATAAAGGTAAGATTTGGTGTCTGGTGGGGAGGCAGGGTAATATCTGAATACCAGATTCCCCAGGTTAGATTGCCTAGCACAAACTCTACCAGCTCATAAGGTCATCCTCCAGCATATAGAAATCTATTATCCTGAAATTCAAATCAGTGTCTAAAGCACAGATTCTATAGATTCCTCTGTGAAGACCTAACCAGAAGAATGTCCTTCTTATTCTGCCTTCACAGCAGAGTAAGAGCCTGGGTGAGTGAGGGTAGAGTTCCACCAAAACTATACTCAATGACAGATGAGGAACATAATGAAAAGTTAGCCAATAGAGTTAGATTAGAAATATGATTGACCAAATAGGACCTAAACAGTTACCACTCTAGTATTAAAATTACTTCTTTTGCTTCAGGAAATGAAATTATCAGGTGTAGTGTGGTTCAATGGCCTAATGTAATCAGGGGAACACAAAAATGTATAGCCTTTCTTGGCAACAAATTTTGGAACCAGTCGTTATTACCAGTTGTATTGAAAATGTGTCCCGTTAACTCCAAGACCAAATTGGGAACAAATAAGGAGAAAATCTGTCTTTCAGAAATAGTCTCTAAGGTGTCTCTAAAATTTCAAAGTCAACCTTTTATGAGAAGGTTACAGAATTTTAATAAAACAAGACATCAGTTGTCACTAATATCTCCCTTAGACCAGCATGCAATAAAGGGTCAGGAGGAAAAACTACTATCAGAACCTTCACTACTTAAGTTTCTGAACTCTCTTTCAAATAAGATTGTGTTCTGAATACTGGGCTCAACTTACATTCCAAATGTTTGGTTCCATTAATTAAATATTTGTCATATGGGTGGAGGTGTTTTAATC